AATATTTTACTCATTTGTTGCATAAATAACTATTAAAACATTATTTTAAAAGATCTAAAAAGATAATGTTAGTATTTTTTATTTCTAAAATTCTCCTCTAAATAAAAAAATCCATTTCCCTCACTACGTCCGCACTTTTATTCACCTCTTTAGGGGAGATAACAGATGCATATATAGAGATAATTTAGGAATGTATTTCGCAAAATATATTATTCATTTCCATGAATGGAGGCGACGCAGGTGAAAAAATTAGCTTTATAATTGCCGGTTAATCGTACTTGATTAATTTAACTCGGGAGGGTGGCTTTGCTCAGTTGTACGCATTTTGTAATGTTCCCGAGTTTTCTGTTCATTCTCTGATCGTACATTTTACGAGATTAAAATAGTTGTGACCCTGTGACATTGCCAGTAAAATATTTTGAAACAAATTTTATTACAAAATTTTTAGAAATCATTAAAAACAGTTGAAAATTGGTCTCTCACTGGTTCGAATTAATTTTAAATGTGAAAATCCGCGTTTTTTTTCGTGATTCAAACATTAAGCCCACCTTCAATAAATCCGGTAGGACTGCCAATATGCATATTATTAAATGGCGTCCTTTACCCGGAAATGATTTTAATCCCATAGAGTCCTTGTAAGAAAGCATCTCTATGGTTTTAAGTTCTAAATCTTGCCAAACTTTTGTAAATATGCACCGTTGATTAATCCAGGTTTCGCCCAAATAATTATGTTTTCCCACCATTGCGATATCTACGAACAAGGGCGATTTCTCCATTGGTTCATTTGTGCAGTGAACACATTATTTTAAAATCACATATAAATAAATTAATAATATAAATCCACTTTAATATATTTATTATTTTCGTACGTATTAATCTCTACTTTTTTTGGACCCCACTGCGCTCAGGCCGATCGCGTCTGTCGGTTCAATATGTCTAGTAAAAGCGAGAGGTATCTGAGAACGAATGTTAAAAAGACAGGTTAATAGATCCGTGAAACAGCAGTGTGCACATACTTTGATTTTCTTTTACTATACGGAGAATGGTCGCACTGCGCAGCTTTCTGATTGCCTTTTAAAAAGAGATAAAAAAACTCTGCCATTTTGATCCCTTATTACGTGTTGCCTACATCTTGGCGCAATATTTTTAATAGGTGCGTTTTAATCATCCGCTTCTGCTTCGGAATTGTCGGTTTTCTTGTTTTAATCTGACAGGTTAAAACGACTTAACCGACAATTCCGGAAGCAGAAGCGGGTGATTAAAACGCACCTGATATTTTGCTTGCTGCTGTCAGTGTCAGTCACATACTTTGATTATTATATGAGGCAAGAGAGAGGTCCGACCAATGACATATATAGAATAATAGACTACTCATCCATATATAAACAAGACGACGAAAAGCGGGTCATATTGCTTGGCTTGCCGAGTGCTCACCAGGCAGAATCGGTCTGGCCCAAATGAGTTTAAAACTCATATTTCATCAAAGTAGGAATTGAATTAAAAAAAAATTATCTGTATGTTTATTTCAAGACAGGAGCTGGCGTTAGATATTTTAAAAAAGGATTTTAAGTCATAACGTCTAGTTTTCCAATTTTCAAAACATTTTAAGAGATCTAACCAATTTTGAAGATAGATATAAACAATTTTACACTAATGTGTATATAACTAACTTTAGACCACGACCACTGTATAGTGGCACTATTCGGACACTTGATTATTCTTTTAAAATTTATTTCGCATTATAAAAGCAGATATTATGCAAAAATTGAATGAACTTTTTAAAGATTTTACTAAAAGTTAGTAGCTTTTTCACATTCTAAAGTTTGTTCCCTTTAGACAATTAAGGATTATTTTGGTGGTGAATGTGAATGATTTGATGAATAATAATAAGATTCCACCAGTGGAAATCTGATCAACATCATATTAAAATGAACTAGGTACAAATTGCAATCTTAGTTGACGTCAAGATCCGTTTAGCATCGGTAAGGGGGAAAGAAAGATTCAATACAATCACAAAAAGAACGTACAACTAAGCTTAGTCGACGTAAGTTAGCTCAGATTAGTGGTAAAAAGAAAGTGACTATTAATAAAAAGAAAAGTAATCCAGCTAAAACAAGAATTATGGCTACTGTCTTTAATAATGATATGTTGCCAGTACTAGTAGAATGTTAAGTGTTGAGTTATCTTCTTCAGGCAATGGATGTACGTATGCATAATTTAAAATGTTTGGTTAATTACTATTATTATGTTTAATGTGTTTTTGCAGTTAATGAACATATATCTACTTCTGAAGCAGATAATGAAGATTTGTGTGCTGCTGAAGAGCTTTGCTTAATTTACAAAACTTTGTTTAAAAGCAGAAAATTGGGATCGATTGTTCAACACAAGTGAAGAGTGGTGATTTAGTTGATCCGTTTTCAAACAGAATTGTCAGTGCTAAAGAACTGTCTACTTTAATAGGATTGCAATCCTTCCAGTTATTAGCCACCATTGTGGAATTCGTTGTTTCTAAAGAATAGGAAAAAGGAGATCAGTTATGTCTGTAAAGGATCAAGTTATATTTACTTTTATGAATTGAAAACTGATTTGCAAGATATAATGTCTTATCCATTTTATTTAGAGTGAATGAAACTTTTTATCATTAAATTTTTTAACATTTTTTAATAAAACTGGTAGAAGTTCTTAGTATGGTATAATTCGGCCTTCAAAACAAGAAATATTAAATAATGTGCCTCTATGTAAGTAAGTAAGAGTACTACTTGATTGTACCGAAATCCCAATACAGCAAGCCAAATGTTTTTGTTGTAGGCTAAAAAATTACTCTGACTACAAAAAGAGGCATACTATTAAAATATTGACTGGAGTGTCACCTACTGGTCTCATTACTTACAAAAGTGAAGCATATGGTGGTAGAACTTCAGAAATAGACATTTTTTAACAAAGTTCAATACTTGAAGTGTGTGAATCAAATCTCGATAGTAAAATGTTTAACAAAGGTTTTCTTATTGGAAACATAACAGAAGCTGAAGGTATACAAATTATACAGCCTCCTTTCCTCAATAAAAAAAATCAGTTCAGCCATCAAGAGGCTTTACTTAATGCCAAAATTGCCAGAGCCAGAATTCACATAGAAAGAACCTATCAAAGAATTAAAGTGTTTGTCTCTCTGTATTGGTACTTATGTCCGTTTTTCTTCTATTTATATTGTTTTTATTATACGATTCTTCTCTGTATCTAACTAAATTTAAAAATGTACTTGTAAAGTCCAGATAGCTCTAACTCGGGCCTTTGAATATAATAATATTTATGTAATTGTATTTACAATAAATACTTTATTATTAATATTATTATTATAATTAATTATAATTCATAAAATTATTATAAACGTATTTACCTTGTACCTACTTGTATTGATACTTGCGTGAAAAATGAAATGTTACTTTTTATATTTCTGTAGCTGGTCTTACAACCCTTTATAGAGCAATTCACCATTTAAATTTAAAAACAAAACAAGTTTTTATACTCAAATAATTAAAAAATTTAAAACAGAACATAAGTATAATTAAAACTAAATAAAATAAACAACTCTACAAAATGTCCGACTGAGTAATGACAATGAGAACAAAATCTCAACCAGACTAAACTTTCTTTAAAACCGGTCCTGTGAAAGTTTTGTTTACCAGTGAGCACTCAAAATTGAGACAAAACACAAACATTGCATGCACTAGACAAAGAGAAAACATCTCCCAGTTCGACCCGCTTTTCATCGTTTTATTTACGTATGGATAAGCAGTCTATTTAAACTATATATGTCATTGGGTCCGACACGCCCAACATAGGGCGCGACCATTTTGAACCCTGAGACACAGTTTACAGCTAAAGAATCAGATCGCTCAATCTGCGTTGGCACTTTGGATCTCAATGTTTCAGTTTATACACTGTGCAACTCAAATAATACAATATATGACAACCGCCTAGAATAAAACAGCAGTCTTCTGCGTATCCTGAATTTGTATCCCTGGAGTGGATGTTATTTTGGAACTTTCAACTGGTCCGAGTGAGCTAACTGATTCTTTAGCAATAAACTGTGACTCTAAAAATAATATTCACTGACACTGACAGCAGCAAGCAAAATATCAGGTGCCTTTTAATCATCCGCTTCTGCTTCCGGAATTGTCGGTTTAGTCGTTTTAACCTGTCAGATTAAAATAAGAAAACTGACAATTCCGAAGCAGAAGCGGATGATTAAAACGCACCTATTAAAAATATTGCGCCAAGATGTAGGCAACACGTGATAAGGGTTCAAAATGGCGGAGTTTTTTTATCTCCTTTTAAAAGGCACTCAGAAAGCTGCGCAGTGCGACCATTCTCCGTATAGTAAAAGAAAATCAAAGTATGTGGTGTCCGTGAATATTATTTTTGGAGTCACATTTTATTGCTATAGAATCAGTTAGCTCACTCGGACCAGTTGAAAGTTCCAAAATAACATCCACTCCAGGGATACGCAGAAGACTGCTGTTTTATTATAGACGGTTGTCATATATTGTATTATCCGAGTTGCGCAGTGTATAAACTGGAACATTGAGATCAAAAGTGCCGACGCAGAGTGAGCGATCTGATTCTTTAGCTATAAACTGTGGCATAGGAATTAAAATGGCCGCGCCCTATGTTGGGCGTGTCGGACCTCCCTCTTGCACCGTATAGTAATCAAAGTATGTGGTTAAAAACGAAAACAAGACGTCAAATAAAATGTCATTTATCACAAATACGCGCGTTATTTAAATTCGCCATTTATAAATCGTCGTATTCCTAACTCGCCAATCATAATGCGTCGTGTACCTAACACCGAAGGGGTTACCTCCCTCAGTATATAACAAATCCATTAGAGTAACATATCTAGTCTTATATGCTCTAAGATTCTAAGGGATCCGCGATTTAAGTTTTGACTTTTATTTACGTAAAATGTCATAGTTATCAGATGAGTAAAAAAATTTCAAGTAATGATATTAATTAATTACACATTTTGGGCTTTTTGTATTATCTTCATTATAAGCATAAATATTTCTCGAGCGGCTGAACCTCGAATTATAGGAGGATACAAATGCAGTGAAAAATCCAATGTTAACACCAAGTTTATGATAGCTTTAATCAAATGTTCGGGCTTTCATGTTTGCGGAGGAAGTCTTCTCAGTCCCAAGTGGGTGCTATCCGCTGCACATTGTTATCAAGAGAGTAAAAAGTTATATGCCTGTAATGCGGTAACAAGAGATAAATGCGTTGGAAAAGATGGTTATTTGCCTTTGTCGTGTCCAGTACATTTAATACTAGATTTTTACATGCATCCATATTATGTCTCCTCCCCCAAAGACAATGACATAGGATTGCTACGTTTAAATTCACCCATGTACGAAAATAAAAACATTCAGTTTGTAAAACTTCCCAGTAGAACTATTGACGGGGATGTGTCAAATGTATGTGAGGATACCACAATCCTAGGATGGGGCAGAGTAAATGCCAATATACGAGGGTGTTCTCAAAGGTTAATGTGCGTAAATTTGAAAATAATGTCAACTACAGATTGTCTAAAGGAATATCCAACAATGAAAAAAAATTTCATTTGTACTGAACCATCTTTAGAAAAAGATTCTGCTGCTGGAGATTCCGGAGGACCTCTGATGTGCAATGATATTCAATACGGTATTACGTCATTTGGCCGTAATGTTTCGGGATATTATACAAGAGTCGATAAATATCTACATTTTATTCGTTACAGTATGAAAAATAGTGGACTTAAGATATTTCGTTTAAATTTTTTTAAATATGTATTAAGTTTGTTGCTTTTTTATTATAATTTAATATATTGATAGTAGTCATAGTTAGGGTGCCCGTCGGGAAACATTTTTATAATATATACTCTCACCAAACTTCGTATATGGCTTCACTGGACTTAAGTCTGGAACCAAATTCCTTTATTACTTTTTTCATTACGTCTAGGGTATCTGGGACTACTAAATTTAAACTCAAAACCCCAATCTTCAGCAAATTGTTGATACTTATAGGATGAGTAAGACATATCTGATAACATCAGGTATCCCATGAACTAAAAAAAACCTGTTTCTGAGCCACTGTAACTTCTAATATCTGATTACCTTTTAATAATTTTAAATCTAACCATTTTGTTAGATAATCTATAATAACAAAGTAATTTTTGTTATTATATTCAGGAATGTCAGTTGGAATTTTTTGAAACAGCTCTGACATTTTATTTAAAATAAGAGGCTCTTTTTCATTTATACCTCGGTATCTTTCATAAACTGAACAGTGTTTAATCATATTCTCCATGTCTATAAACATACCTGGCCAAAAAAAATACTTGATTAGCTCTATCTCTTGTTCTGTTTATACCAAAGTGCCCCTCATGAAGAAATTTAAACATATCACTTCTTAAACTAACCGAAACAATTATTCTGTCATTGTAAAATATTAAATTATCTAATTCATGTATGTCATTTCTGAGCATAAAATAAGCTCCTAGCTGACCCGTACATGGTTTTGTAGGCCACCACATTAGGCTCCCCATTCATATGATATTTATTAACTTTTTAAAGAAGAGTCTTCATCTGTTTTAGCATTAAAGTAATTTTTTCTGTGAGTGCTCATCGCAAATTCTTTTCAACTAAATGAACTATTTTATTCAATTCTTCATTAAAGCTGTTTTAAAACTAAGAGGAGCAATTTGAATTTAGGTTGGCAATTCGGTAGACTTCTTATTGGTCAGATTGCAGTTAGTTTACACATCATTTTTTAGCATTAACATCGCAGCTAATTCAAATATTAACAATTACTGATAGTTATGTCATATTACATTTTTAGTTTCATTGTTTTCACCCCATGATATCTCATGATTATTACTTGTTTTTTTACTTTTTTCGTTAATAACAGTTATTTTCAGAATTTCAATAAGCAATTGTATTGAATTTCTACGATTATCGGTCTTCTACACCAGAGTTGGGTCGGATACAGGAAAAAAGTATCCGAGTACCGGATACGGATATTTACAATGTATCCGGATGCTTTTAAGATACTTTCACCTAAAAAGTACTTGGATACAAGTATTCGGATACTTTTTTCAGATACTTTAAGGGATACTTTTACGGATACTTTTAAAGTGAATTAAAATAAATTTTTCAAACCTTAGATAAAAGAAACAACAGATCTGGTTTTACGTCAACGTGTTTTACGGAGGAGATTGAAGATAAAACTCAAATGACCAAAAGTGACGACAATGACGACATTGAATCAAATTCGGAAGTCACCATGCAAATGAATTTGGACGAAGACGAAGATATTTTGTTATCAATGTTATCTGAAGATCCTGGGGAATGCCCAGACATTATAACTGCTGACTCTGCAAGAACTTTAGTTAAAAAAGGACACTCTCAAGTAATTCTTGAGAACTTTCCAATAAGTGAAGGTGGGCGTAAGTTTTCTAAAAATTATTATTACCGTCAACTTTTAAACGGCGAAAAACCTTAAAGGAGGTGGTTAATCTATTCTGAACTAAAAATTCGATTTACTGCTTTTGCTGTAAAATCTTTGATAAAATCTCTAGTTCTAGTTCTAGTTCAACAACAAATTTATCTTGTAAACAGGGATGTTCTGATTGGCAACATTTGACACAAATTTTATCAAGACACGAGAAAGGTGTTTTTCATAACGAAAACGTCAAATCTTGGTTTAATTTGTTAAATATGTTATCCAAATAATGTACGATAAATCAAAAAGAGTTACGTTTAATTGAAGTAAAAAAAAATATTGGTATGGTGTTATTGAAAGAATTATTTGTGTTATACAGTTTTTATCTAAGCAATGCCTTGCTTTACGTGGTCCGTGTAATAAATTATATGAAAATAATATTCTTCCTTAAAGCTATTGAAATGATTGCAAAATTTGACTCTGTAATGCAAGAACACGTTAGCCGAACACAAGAAGCCCAAAAAAGTGGCAAGGCAATGCTTAACTATTTAGGAAATAAAATTCAAAATGAACTTCAAGGTTTAATTAGTTTTAAAATTCGAAAAAATATTTTGGATTTAGTTAGAAAAAATAAATACTATTCAATTATGCTTGATTGTACGCCGGATGTAAGCCATGTTGAACAAATGAGTCTCATTATTAGATTTGTAAATTTAAACGAATCAACAAGAAAAGTCGAATTGCGTGAGCATTTTATAGAATTTTGTCCTATAACAGATTCAACCGGAGAAGGTTTGAGTAAATATTTAATAAACTTATTACAGAAATTAAATTTAAATTTTTATGACATGCGTGGACAAGGTTATGATAACAGTGCAAATATGCGGGGAATTCATAATGGATTGCAAAAAAATATTAAACTTGAATCCTAGAGCGTTTTTTGTACCTTGTTTAGCAAATACCTTAAATTTAGTCGTTAACGATCCTGCAAAGATTTCTTTTGAAATATCAGGTTTTTTTGATTTCGTTCAAGAACTTTATGTATTTTTTTCAGTATCGACAAAAAGATGGGCTGTACTAAAATCGCATATTTCGGGAACGGGAATAAATTTAAAGCCATTGTGTGAAACACGTTGGTCAAGTAGAATTGATGCGATAAAACCTTTACGTTATCAAATTGGTCAGATTTATGATGCATTAATACAAATAATTGAAAACAGCTCTTCCTCAAACGATTTAAATAGTTCACATCAAGCACGTTCGTTAGCTTCAAAAATTAAAAATTTCACATTTTTTTATGTAATTATTTGGTATAACATTTTGTTCAAAATAGATTCTGTTGCTAATCGAATCTTTACAAAATCCGGAAATAAATATAAAAATTAGTATAGATTATTTAAATTATTTTTCGACATTGAGATCAGATGAAGGTTTTAATAAACTTCTTGTTGACGTTCACGAACTTGCTGAAGATCTAGAAGTTAAATCAAACTTTCCACTTTCTCAGACTATTCGACGTAGAAAAAAAAACGAAACAATTTGATGATGAGCCTATAACCGATGCAAAAACTCATTTCAAAGTGAATGTTTTTTTCTCTATTTTGGACCGCATACTGTCATCTTTACAAGAGCGATTCAAAGGATTGCAAAGTTTTAGCGATATGTTTGGATTTATGTATAATATGTTCACCTTAACAAATAAGATATTGTTAAAATCATCTAAACATTTGAATTCTCTTTTGACGGATGATTCTCGTAACGAATTTGATATTGATGCATCTGATTTATATGAAGAAATTAAAACACTCAAGATTTACTTTGAATCAACTTCAACTTCAGAAGGTTCTCAACAATATCCTAAGTTCATTTTGGAGTTTATATTTCAAAGTCAATTATTGTCAACTTTTCCAAATATTTCAATAGCCCTTAAACTTTTACTCACTTTGCCCGTATCAGTAGCCTCGGGAGAAATATCGTTTTCTAAGCTAAAAATTATTAAAAATTATTTGAGATCTACCATGTTACAAGATAGACTTAATGATTTATCTATAATTGCCATAGAAAATGATATTATGGATTCCCTGTATTTGGAAGAATTGATTAAGGATTTTTCCGCAAAGAAAGCAAGAAAAACGATTTTTCTATGATTTCTCACAGTAGGGACAATGACAACCCATTTTTAAACTAGTAAAAACATGTCATTCATGTCTTGTAAAAACTTATTATTCAGCTAGTAAATTTGCAGCAACAATGCAACAAAAAAAAATATAATTTTGTAGTATATTCATTAATGTTAAACTAACTGATCCGATTGTATTAGATCAATTAGATGTCACTTTGTATTGTTATAACATTTTTATTTTTGTTATACATATTATAAATAGAATATTTTATGTTTTAGTTTTATTCAGTTAATTAAAAAATTACTGTTAAAATTGTAGTTTTTATTAGTGAGATGCAAACTTTCAGCTAAATATGTTTGCTATTACTCAAAAATATTTAAATGAAAACAATATTAACTAACTTTATGTCATGACTTGAATTAAATTTTTGACGAAAGTATTTTGAAATAGGGGCGGCTAAATTTAAGTTTTGCGCCCGTGTGCAAAACTAAATGTCACGGCACGCCCCTGAAAGGTAAAGCAGGCTCATTTATTTGATCTTGTCAGATCTGTATACTTTATTGATGTTGGCGAAACTATAATCAAGATCAAAATTGTAGTGATTTTGATCATTGTAAAGTAAAAAATATTTGGTTTGAAGTTAATATTAAAAGATATCCTGAGGAATTATTAGATTTAGATTGGGACAAGGAAAAATATACCATTGCATATGATATGCTAACTCATTACAAGAAACTATTTGTTAAAACTCATAACAAATTACCCCTGATATATATTAATCCAAAACAATTTAAAAATGGTAAACTTTCATCGTTGTTGATTTAACTAGACAACCTCAAAACACCAGCGAATCCAGAAATAATATTCTTCTACATGTTGATTTTGATGTATCACCTCCTCCTAATACTATTTGTTATGTTTGTATGGTGTCTTATTCTGAATTTATATATGATATTGTTAACAACAATATTCGAGAGAACATATAGATTTCTATCAATTTTTTTCTACTTATAAATGTGTGAAATGTAAAAGTAAGACGGATAATATAAATCCGCAATTCATTATAACTAAAAACAATAAAAAACTGTTAACATCAAAGTGTTCTATTTGTAATAAGAATGAAACATTCTTTATAAAAAATAAATAATATAAATAGAAGGTAGTCAATTTTGTTATAGTTGTAAACATTTTTTCTGTTTTTGTAAATTATCAATTTCATATCATAAATTTTTAGATAAAAAATCTTCATATTGTTATTAGCCCTTCACCCTCTAAAAAGAAAATAAAATTATAATTAAATGGATTATTGTAGAAAGTGTAAAAAACAAACTAAAAGCATTGGTCTTTCTAAATTTATTAAAAAGGATAAACGTTGGAGAAGAATATCGACTTGTAAGGTTTGTGAATCTGTTAAAAATAATATTTCAAAGTCGCCAGAAGCTATTGAAATTGAAGAGTTATTTAAACCAGCTAGAAAAAATTTTGTCACTAGGAAATTTATTCAAAAAGGAATTGATGATACTTTGCAGGCTGATTTATACGCTTTTTATAGACCTAAAGGAAAATTAGAAAATAATTCATATAGTTTGAAAACAAAACATGAACCAGTTGATAATCATTATAAACAATTATTAAGGGCTAATGATGGATATAAATATATTTTAAACGTGATTGATACATTTTCAAAGTATGTTTGGTGTGTACCTTTAAAAACAAAAACTGGGATTGAGGTTTCTAACGCTTTTGAAAATATATTTAATGAGAGGAGACCAAAATTGTTACATGTTGATAAAGGTAAGGAGTTCTATAATAAGGATCTTAAAAGTGTTTTGAATAAATACAATATTAAAATATATAGTACAGGCACTGAAAATAAGGCTTCCATAATTGAAAGATTTAATAGAACTTTAGGAGATAAATTAAAACCGATTTTATATAAAAATCTTAGATGGTTTTCGGTGCTATCAAATATTGTTAAGACTTATAATAATACATATCATAGAACAATTAAAATGAAACCAATTGAGGTTAATAAGAAAAATGAAATTCAGTTGTTATCAACTGTTTATAATTTTAAAATAACTAATTTAAAAGCTAGATTTGAAATAGGTGATCGAGTTAGACTCTCATCTTATGTAGATCAATTTTAAAATAAATTAAAAACCAACTGGTCCAATGAAATATTTACGATTATTAAGATATTGAAATCTAATGTTAATTATTACAAAGTTAATGATATTGAAGAAGGTATTTATGAAGAAGAATTACAATTATCTAAATTATAAAAAATTTTAATTTATTATTTTATAATGATTTTATAGCATGTTCATTTTTCTGTTTCTTTTTTAGTTTGTTTTAAATTACTTAAAAATGTATCTTTTTCAACATTTATTTTGTAATGACCCCATGATAATGTATGTATGCCATCTTCTAAAATATATCTTTTATCTTCAAACGCGCTTAATGCTTTTTTATTCATTTCTATAGTATATAATTCATGTTTATTACTTCTTATTAAATTTTGTTTTTTATATATAGGCTTCTTAGTTTCTAAACAATTAATGTAGTCATCGAATTAGATCGCATTTTTAACAACTCCTTTTTTAATTCCTTTTGCTTTTTTAATTATTGTTTCGTCCCTTTTTATTAAATATAATTTTGATCTTAAACCTACAAATTCATGAATAACTTTTCCATTCATTTCATCTTTAAATTTTCCTGACACTTTTTTATTCTAGGAATTCCATATTCATTATTTTCATGATAATCTGAAGTCTCCAGTTCATTAATAAATCCATTCATATCCAAATAAAAATCTTCAGTTTCTATTGAACATATTACAGAATCGGTATCTTCATATAGTAGTTTTATTTTATTACCATATTTATTTTTTAAAACATCATAATAAAATCCATATAAACATATTTTTGAAGTATCTAAAATAGACATCTCAATATATATTAGTTTATTAAAAACAAGATTAGTTTTTGACATATGTACTGCTACTAAATCTTCTAAAAATATAGTTCTAGATTTAAAATTAGGCTTCGAAACTAATTACTCAATTTGTTTAAATTCAGTACATCATTTTATGTCAACTCTATGTCTTAAATTTTCAATCGTTTTCCCAAACACTGCATTATTCATTAATTTGAAAATATCTTTTTCAAATTCGTTCTTCGCATTTGTTCTTAATTTTGTATTTAATTCGATATATGGAGCTAAATAATTTGATTGTTTAAATGATATTACCCTATGAACTTTTTCCAGTTGTAATCCTAAATCTAAGTATTTCTTTAATGACATATAATGAATTACATAATTCTTTTTATCATATAATGTTGTCATTAATTTAGGTAATTTATTTTCGTTAATACAATTTTCAGGTGCTAGTGGAAAGTTAGAATGGGTATTATGTAATTCTTTTGGATATTTTAAGTCTACTTCTAAAATATATCCAATGCCAGATTCATCACTTGTATTTTTAATTTTTTGTTCCCAATTTATGTTATTTATGTCACACCATTTAAAATCTTTATAAGGTAAAGGTTTCATCATTGACCAACCATATTCGTTATTTGCATCAAGATACATTATATATTTTGATTTTTCTTTAAGATTATATGATTTCATATATTTATTATTTGCTTTTGCATATCTATTACTACACTGCGATATTCCACCTCTAATTCCTTTTTCAATCATTAATAATTGATCATAATCTGTTAATATTTCTAACTTTTGTTTAGTCATTTTCAAAATTACATCCCATGTAAATCCAGGAGTCGTATAATAACCATGCCGGATCTAATTTATAAGTTTTTAAAGAAATTTCTCTAAAATTTTTAATTATATCTGTTAATATTAATACATCAATTAAATTATATAATTGTGTATATTCTTTTAAATTTGTCACATTAAATTTATTCCATACATTTAGAGCATGATTATAATCTTCATCTGAAATATGTTCATTATTTAATTTGTTATAAAACATTTTCTTTGATGGTAATTTTGTTTCATAATGCTTCTCCTCAGAATCCATATAATCATATGGGTAAACACCTTTTCTAATTGCTAAATCTAACAAATCGTCTGGTATATATTTTATAGTTTCTTCGAATTGCTCTTTTGATAAATTTTTAGCTAATTTTTCTATGCTAGAAGGTAAAAATCTTAATGAATCTATAAATCTTAAATTCATTTTTCTAAATATTGGTTTATTACTTTCATCAAATCCGTTGGGATATTTTACAACTTTTGTTAAAGAAATATATTTTTCTTCAGAGTTAGGAATTAATTTTAAATCACCACCAAGGTTTTTTACAAATAAATATAAGTTATGACAGCAAACAGGAATATGTGATGGATTTTGATATTGTAAATTACACGCACTATGACTTGCGCCTCTAAATTGTCCTGTTATATGGGTATGATCTACAACTTTTTGTGTCATAAATTTTTTATTTTCTAAAAACTTGTCTAATTCTTCTTTATATTTACTTGCATTATCATTATCATTATCATCTTTAAAGTAGGTAATTGTATTTTTTAAAATTCTTACTTTCCTTTCAGTTTGAGGTGGTAAATCTGTTAATTGTCTTTCACATATATGACATATCTTAGTATATTTAAAAATGTCATCTTCTTCATCACTTACAGTTCATCAAATTTCTAGAGGCTTTCGACGGCTAGACAGAGAAAGCACTACTGACAGGCATCCCGACGGATTTACGCAATGAAAGTACACTCTGCGCATCAAGTATTTCACTGTTTCATTCAGACGTAAATGTCAGATGTAAATTTCGCTAAAACATTTCTTTTATTTTCGTTTGTGTTTTTTGCTCATTACAGTTTAATAGAACCTAAGTATGGAGTTTAATAGCAAATTAAGAGGCCGCGTGATTAACAGTCAATGAGAAGAGAAGGAAACTTTAATTCACCTTCAATACCATTAAAAAATGTAAATGATCGTGTTGCTGCAGCCACATGAGTATCTAAAAACACTATCGTCCGCATTTCCA